ACTACCTGTAGCCCAACACCCTCCCCCACTTTGTGCACAGCATGGGCAGACTGCCCCCTTCCTGCTGTGCTGCCCTTGCCCCAGAAGTAGAGACAAGGGCCAGAAGCCAGAAGATGGAGGGGGAGCCTGGAGACCCCAGCTGCCATAGCCATGAGGGCAGTGGGCAGTTAGAACCAGGCAGGAGCTCACAAGCTGCATGTTAAACCCACAAAGGCCCCATGCAGCCAGCAGCCCACCAATTGGACAGCCCTGGCCTAGATTAACACAGTGTGGGTGCATCTACATGTGCTATTAGAGTGCAGACATAAACTCTGGTGCAGTTCATACCTGAGTCAGCTGCTTCTGGGCACAGCATTTACATGTGTGCCTAGAACCACAGCAGTCTGAGCCAGTGGGGAGCAGCCCTGGGGTGGCAGAGGGCAGTACTATCCTATGGCTTCTTGTTATTTGCAGCCTTTTCATTATTATAATCTAGAAAGAGACCTCTTTGGTCCCCACTCGAGATCTCATCTCCCTGGGTCACAGATTTCTTATTATTAGGGGCATAGACCTACTGCTTGATTCCAGGGAGAAGATGCTTCACAATATTATCTGGGATTGTCTACTAAATTAGGACTTTCCACTTACAATAGCCCTTCATCTCAATGAAGTTCACTCAGCACCTTTCTATAACAGAATCCTACCAGTGCTCCAAGGAGCCTCTGGATGACCATGGTCTTCTCATCACTAGGGTTCAAAATTTCATGGTTTCTAGTTTCTAGATCACCAAATATCTCTCCTTGGTCTATGAAAAACCTATCCAAAGTCAAACCTGTTGTATCCTACTTATAAAGATTTATGATAAATGCTAATCTTTAGTGCAAGGCATGCCCATAACAAAGAGACAGAATTCACAAGAAAGCCTAAAGCTTTCTAGAATTTATGATTATGTGGTTGGGTTTTCAATACTTCCTGTCTCAGATATTCTTCTAAGAGATCCTGATAAAGTTTTAGTTTTCAGATAGCAACAACCCCTCTATAGCCACATTATAAATTATAAAGGCGTATCTAGGCACTATATATATAACTGTATTGGCACATCTACACATGCATTTAAGTATGACTAAATTTAATGCACATTAAGCTAATGCACATTAAGCAATTTTTGGCAGATGTCTACATGTGCGGGGACATGGCACTAAAGTTAGTGCCAAGTCCCTGCAGCCCTCCCATTTGCCCCTAGTAGCTAGGAAGACCCAGCATTAAAGTTAGTGCCGGGTCATGTCTACACACGTTAATGTGCTTTAACTAATCATACCTAAATTTGATACCTGCATTTGCACGTATCAAATTTAGGTGCGATTAGCCTAATTTCACCATTTTTAATGCACATTAAGGGCATGCACATGTAGACATGCTTCCATAATGTGCATTAAATTAGGCTAATTCATATTAACATGTCTCGTGTAGACACACCCATAGAGTGGTACTCTTTCTTTGACTCTAAAGAACATGAATCCTATACATCTAAAGACTTCATCCTACTATCTGTCAACTGCTTACCTAACATTTCACTGACTGTTGCTCCAAACTCAGTGATATCCAGTCTTGGAAAATGAAATCTTTTTTCCTTGAATAATTACACCCTTAAGTATATGTTCACCTCCCCCCATATCATGTGCATCTTCCAGAAAGTTTGAATGGTTCAAGGTAAAGTTGTCTCCTTTGTGCTGCAGAACTGTAAGCCATGTCCCAGCCTAGCAGTCTTTGGCCACGATGTCCCTGATTCTGACTAGAGCTATTTAGGAATTTTGTGTTGAAAATACTGTGGAAACCTGCTAAATTGTTGATTGGAATCATCCACAGAGAGACAGTGCCATCAAATAATAGTGAGTAGGCTAATGGCTAAGACATTCATCTAGGTAGTGGAAGACCCAAGTTCAAGTCTCCTTTTCTAATGAGTTACTTCCTGCTCACCAGGTGAATACTCTAATCACTTGGTTTTAGAGTCACTCTCCAATTAAAGCAATTCTAGTTTGTAAAAATAATTAAATATGTATTGGCCCAAAGAAGAGGACTACATTTCCAGCCTGGTTGTTGAGGCATTCATCGAGATGTAGAAAATTCAGGTTTTAATTTCAGAGGGACTTGAACCTGAGTATCCCACAGACCAAGGGAATGCTGTAAAAATCAAGTGAATGAATAATGAATGAACTGTGTGTTATTTCCTGTAAAGAAGCTTTCTTTTCCTCAAGCCTTGGTTGACAAAAAAGTCGCTGAACTCCTCTAGAATCCCTCTCAGTTACTACCATCACTTCACTTTTCCATATGAAATCAGGTGACCCAGTACCAACCTCCCCAATCATTACCTATGTTCTACATCATCTAGTAAATTTATATAAGTTCTCCCTTTATAAAGTTTGACATTCTCTTAAATTGTAATAAAGAAGACCAAAAGGTTCTTTTATGCCACTCATTCAGGTGGATTAGGATTAAATTAAATATTAACAAAACCCCTGTGATACACTTTATCATATCTTTAGCACTCCCTGGGCACATAAATGGGACTTTGTACGATGAAACCTGCAAGGCTAAACATTTTCACACAGTAATATAAAATGGCTACAGGAACTTCACCTCACAGTCAGATGAATAATTTTCTTGCCATCCTGAAATTGCAGCAAAGTACTAACTGAAAAAGCAAGGGTAAGAGAGCAAAGATTATTAGCATTTAATCATTGTTGTCCTTGTTCTACAAGTTTTCCTTTCTATATGACATTATTATGTTTCCTGTGTATGAAGTTCATTTAGTTTCTTCTTGCTCCTGTTCATTCATATAGCTGTGTGTTAGTATTTTTCCTTCACCATGCTGTTATTCTGATTGCTGCTTCCTTGTAGTTTCAGAATTTCCATGAAAATGGAATAGTTCTATCATAACTGAAAATGTGTAGTCTTTCACAATTCAATTTGACAAAAACAGCTAGTCTGAGCAGTCCCTCCATAGTGAAGAGAAATATGATTATGATTCTTCATAGGGCCTGCTCCATGGCCACTGATTTGTAAATTGAGGGAGGGGGGTGTTAGAGAAGATCAATTCAGTGGTAATAATAGTAAGGATGTCAGACCTTCTTATTCCTAGCAAAACAGATAAATACTGCCCACTGCATGCAAGTAGCAGAATAACAGGTTACCAGAACTCCCTCGCCTAATATCTCTTCAGGCCATGGCATATTCCGTCAATTCTGGAGTAGCAGGACAGTAGTGATATGCCGTGTATACTGCACATGTACATCCAAGATCATTTTCTCATTGCATTCTATCAGTTCTACCCAAGCCAGGGATCACAGATTCTAAATTAGCATGCAGCTCATGAATCAAGCTCTTTGAGATGTACTAGGTCTTTTTCTTTCCTTTTCACCTAGGGACACCCTTGTTTTTCCTTCTTTCCTTCCCTGCCATGTATTTTCTTAGCAATCTGGTATGGTCAGAAACAGTGATCATATTACAGAAGCAGTGGTAATAAGTGAAGGCCCTGTCTCTCTGTCCCATTCTGCATGTCTCCCCCTATCTAAATACAAATACATTTTGGATGTCAGGAATGACTTCTTTCGAGGTGGGAGGACGGTTCCACCTAATTTTAAGTCGAGTTAAGTTCTTACCTCAGCTGAATTACAGGCTTCTTGGAGACCTCCCAAGTATGACATATGTGTATAGTATTGCTACAGATTGAATGTTTGACACCCATCTTAAGTAGTCTTTGTTAGCTAAATGTGGTCAGAGTACTGATGTACATGCATTGTGATTGGGGGGGGAAGAGAGGGGGTGCAAAAACTCTTACCCAGGATAAAACATCCTAGAGTAAGAGAGAGACCTATATAAATGCAAGAGTGCATCTACTCAAAGGCCCTGTGTACGGTGTCATTGCTAGTAGAGCTGTGCAAAGCTTTGGTCCCTGATTCAATTCGGTGGAGATTCAGCCTGATTCAGTGGCTGAATCTCTGAATCCAAATCGAATCAGAGGATCCTTTAATCTCTCTGAATCAAATCAGAACCCTCTGAATCAATTTGGAGAGATTCAAAAATGTTAGGAGATTTGGACATAGAGACAGCTTTAAATGTTTTTTCTACATAGGTAGCAGGGGCTTGTGAATGCTGTGATGCTGGGGCACATGGAATGTCCCACAGAAGCATGGGCGGCTCCCCAGTGCACATGACAGCAGACCCAGAAGTGCTTCTGGTCCACTTCTGGGTCCTCCTGGGAGCACACTGGGGGGGCCCACTGCACCCCCTGGCTCAGTGACTGGTGCCTCCTGGGTCTGGGAGGGCACTTGGGTTCCCCCTGTGGCTGATTGTTGAGCTGGGGAGGCATGGGAGGTGCTATCCCCAGCTGACCCAGAAGTGAACTGGAACTACTTCTGGTCCACCAAGCACTTAGAGGGCCCCCCAGCACTCCTGTGGGACGCTCCATGTGCCCCAGCATCACAGCGATCACAAGCCATGCCTGCTACTTCAAGGTATGTAGAAAAAAACTTTTAATGCTGCGTCTATGTCCAAATCGTTGATTCTCTAAATCAGCATCGAATCTTCAGATTCAGTGGAATCAAATCAGGGACAGTGATCTGAATCAACAGATCAAATCAGTCCCTGATTCAGGCCAAATCTGAAATGAATAGGGCCAGCTTCGCACACCCCTAATTGCTAACAGTGGGGGAGGCAGGGTTTGTTTGGCACTAAGCATAGGTAGCAGCAGTGCCACAGCAGACTCAGTGGACCTAGTGACATGCCAGTATGACTCTTGTTTGACTTTTGGCTTTGGTTTAGGATCAAAACAGATGTTTTTGTTGACTATAAAAAGGTGTATCCAATTTGACCCAACCTTACATTTCTGCCTCTGTTAGCAATAACAATGTTTGAGACGGCCTTTTTTCTCTACGCCCTTAAGTTTCATAAATTCATTTTTAGCCACTGAAAACAGGGACCAATAGCACTGAACTGAGCAAGGCATGCTGCTGGCTGGTACACTGCTTGTGTCCTGTGCATAATTGTTCCAGTACTCCAATACTCCATTATTAGCTATGTAACTGTCATTCTTTCCTTTGAAAGACTACCCATTAGGATGAATATTTAGGAGGAGAAGGATTAAAATAAACAAAGAAAACCCATTGTCACTTGTAACCTAGCCATACTTTGATTTCACACATTAGCCTTCTATAGCAAATTTTCCATTTTAAATTTTTGCCTTGGAAACCTGTTGTAGTTTTTTAAGTTGCACGTGGCTTAATTCCAAAAACACTTTTTTAATCCAAATTACCAGTGGCAACACAATGGGGTTTAGGTGCTACAATAGTACAGATAAGGAAACTTTAGGAATTCTTAAAATTACCCCATTCAACAGGATTTGGCAAAATTTATGTTAAAAAGTCCATTTTTCTTGTCACAAAATGCCACCTCACATAGCTCTTTTTAAATTTAAATTATATTTAAATAATGCCTCTTTTTTTTGTAGAAAAGCATTCTTAATTTCAAATGTTACCCACTGACATACACCATTCCCAGACCACAACTGCAGTTCTGCTTATTGGCCCATGGCAAGGTACTTTTGTCTCATATAAATCTACTGAGAATCAAGGCAGGGAGTAAAGAATATAACAAGGAAGGAGGAGGCAATTATGTGACAGCCATCAAGTGCCATGTACATATATTACCATTGCATTTCTCTGCTTACTTTTGTTTAAACTGCTCATGCATTTGGCTCATGTCAGATAGCTTTAATTTTCTCTCACTTGGGAATAATTTTTCTCATAAACACACCATCATTTTGATCTCCATTTTACACAGGATACGGTACAGACATTTCATTTAAGAGCAAATGCTTATTTTAATATGACTAGTAATATGACAGTATGCAGGCTGTACTTCTGAACCTTTAATTTATTAAGCATAAGAAGACAATCCTTTTCACCGCAAAGTTCTGTTTCAAAAGGAGTATTTCAGAAATCTTGTACAAAATTGAGGCCAAGAAGAGCATGACATAGGATTGGACTCAGAATACTATTAGCCAAATTTTGGACTTTCCAACAGCTCTTTTGTAGTGCTGGAACAGTACCATTTATGGGTGTCCTAACTGAACAGTTAAGGATTTCCTCCAACATAAGAAAGTCTTCAGGTGGCTTTATTTCAGGCCTTCTTGGCTGTCCCAGTCTGGGGCATGTTTTGCGGGCAAAGCTGGAGTGCACTGTTAGCATGATGACACTTTGGCAGTGGCTATCTCCTGGTAGAAGGTCCCCTAAAATGTCAGCTTGCTCCAACTTGCACTGAAGTCTCTGTCAGGTAAACCAGTCAAGTATGGAAACTGGCCAAGATCCACCTTTGCTTACCTCTCTCAGTAGCAGTGAGTTGTTCTTTGGTACAGGTGTGTATATAGTCCTGTACATTTTCACACATGTACACACACACACAAGCCTAAGTAGTTTCATTGTTCCTAACTGGTTTTGAGAAATTTAGGGAAAAAACATTTTTTCTAAGGGAGTCCTATTCCTCAGTGTTAGCAAACATAAGAGTAGTCTATTCAATTTTGGACTTTCCTATAGCTGTCTTTAATAAACATTTATGTAAAAACTGTATTTGTAGAGAAAAGCTACAGATATTAGTTATGCCTAAAAGACAAGCTTTCCTCAAGCTCAAAAAATATTAAAGCAATCAACATTTCTTACTTGTAGAGGTGCCTCCTCTTTGCGGCGTGGACAAATGGCCTATATTTCTCACCAAACTCATACAAGGCAGTTTCTGTGGACAGCCCTCTTCAGAATGTGGGTAGGCAAGCTGTCTCCTTTGTTGACCAGTTCACCAACCTCTATCTGGCCACTTCCCATAAGCAAAAATTCCAACAGAGTGATTTCCTCTGGATTCTCTAAAATTTAAGGGCATGGTTTGCACCATTAAAGATTATGGGAGGATCAACTATAGGACCTATCCTCTAAAATGTTGCAGAATGTGATGTTTAGTCTTGTTCTAGAAGTTTTCAGCTATCTCACAGAAGGTAACAGAGAAGTATAAACCAGTTGCAGAATTCCACGTATTTGTTTGAGTCCTCTGAAATTACATATCCTTTGAAATTCTATAGGATTTTAAGAATAATTTCTATTATACCCTGCATCTTTTTTACCTAATTGCTATTCCTTTAATCCTCATTAAATTCTTTAGAACTTTAGAGTTGGTCTGCACTCCCTTGAGCTTCATATTACAGATCCTTCCCTCAAAACCAGACACTAGTTATAGCCAAAGTGAGAAAATATAGCATTGACTATATCCTTTGCATTACAAAGATCTCTCACATGAATTCAATATTGTTTGTTTCAGGTGATGTCTTTATAGGACAGAAGCAGCTGCCAGCCTTTAGAAACCTGATCAATCACATCACACTCAAGACTCCTCAAGTATCATTTTGCAAAACTGCATATACCCAGGACTACTCCTGTCATGTCCATACATTACTACAGAGATCCCTTCTTTCACTATAAACACATATAAATTACTATAAACACTTTATCCACTGCACAAAATCTTGAAACACAATAAAACCATTGACAACATTTGTAATAAGGACTTTGGGGGTAATGAGAGAAAATTATAAGATTGTACCATTAGAGGTTTACTTTTACTAGCTAGCTGTCCTTTTTTCCCCATTAAATATTTACATGATGGAAATGCCTATATATGTGATATATATACATATATATAGGTAAATTAAGGCATAATACAGAACAGCTCTTCAAAGTATTCCCACTGGCTAAGAATGACTTTGAGGCATACACATGCTAGAAAGTCACTCTTGCAGAATCATTATTGGTATTTCTGCTTTGTAACAAGCCTTAGATATTTTTTATCTAGATAGGGAGCACTTCAGATGTATTATGAGGCTACTTATTTGAAAGCAGTTGGAGTATATTTAAAAAAAACAAGACACATGAATTCAGCTGCAGGTTTCCAGCACAAAAGGCCTTTCTATATAGTACAAGTGACAAAGGTCAGTGAAAGGAGAATTTTCTTCTCTTAGTCCTGCTATATAGCTGCCAGTATACCTAAACTCCTGTTCAGCTGAAGCGATGAAAAAAAACCCAATCTGATGGCAATACTGTTCTCAACTGAACTTGGTGCTGAAGTATTCCATTTCTTTGTTCTAGCTTCTTTTAACTGCTCTTCATTACACTGTCACAAGCCATTTTTAATACATGATTATACCCTGAAAAGTGACAGCACAAATTGGTTTCATCTGTGATGACATGCTTTGGAACACAGCCCTTTATAGACAGTTCTTCAGGGTCCACTGAGTGACGGTCCATTCTTAAAGGCAAGGGCTAAACTCATCCCTAAATTAATTTCATTAACTTCAATAATGAAGTTACTGAAACATTACAATACATTAACTTCAGTTACAAACCGTGTACAGACATTCAGTTTCTCCTGGGAGAGTTGCTGTTCTCCCAGTAGAAACCATGAGTTCTCTCAGTTGGCTGCTTCAAGAGAATAATAACCCAGGAAAAAAGAGAGTTAAATGGCTTCTAGGAGAGTTTCTCCTAGAAATGAGAACTTATATGCATGTATCTTCTGAGAAAAGCCGTAGCACAGACTTTCAAAATCTGAGTGTGCTTTGCTCCCAGCCCCCTCCCAGTGGTCACATCCTACACATGCAAATTATGTGGGATCAGTTTACTCTAGAGTAAATTACTCTAAATTGATCCAGGCAGGGGTCTAGACATAAAGGGTCCCAGAAGCGTATTTGCTGCTCATGGCTACTTGCACTTGCAGGTAGCAAATTTACTTGCAATTAGAGCCAATTACTGTGCAGTAAAGCATATCATGGAGACATGCCTTGTGTGTTACTCTACCTGGACTCTACTGCTACACCCAGGCAGGCAGACCCTTCCCAATCCCTTCATTGTGCTGCAGAGAGACATAGCTTACAAGGCAGTCTGAGTCTGCCAATCAGGGGTACCCTGTGCAGCCCTGTCATCTGTTGCCAGGCAGACTGGGACCCTGCAGAGCAGGCATAGATGTGTGCACAGGAGTCCACCAGCTGCACAGTGGCTCAGCAATGAAACATTTGTCCAAGAGTCTCTGGATAAGTTTTTCTACCAAGTAAATGAACCCAGGAGAATTCTCCCAGATCATTTGAACGTGTGTATACAGGCATAGAAAGGATTAATTTTATCCAGAGAATTCACAGTTAGGACAAGTTGTCAATGGGATGCCCATGGGATCTCATTACTGTCAATGCCCATGGGATCTTATTACTGATTCATTTGAAAAATGAAGAAAATCCCTATAAATTGGGACCTTACTAAATCGCGGCAGAAGTATACTGCACAATGGCTCCTTTAATCTTGCTCTTTTTGCTGTGTGATCGTCCTGCTGCTGATTGGCCAAGGGGCCCTAGTGGCACTGCCACTTGCTGCTGATCAGCTGGGAGGCAAAAAAGACCATTTTAAATATGCTGTGGTTTTTGCCTCCTACCACTGATTGGCCAAGGGGCCACCACAACACCACTACATGCCACTGATTGGCCAGGCAGGTGACAAAAAAAGAAAAATTAAAGAAGCTGCTGCTCAGTGCACTTCTGCTATGATTTACCTAGGTCTCTACCTGTAAATCAAACATCATGAAGTACGTAAGTACCATTTTGATGCAAAATGCTGAAATCATTGGAAATGTAAACTAGGGATGAATTTGGCCCAATCTTTTAAATCTCAAATTCTTCAGAAATTAGCCATCAAATCACATGTGATGTTTATGTAGATAGAAAATAAATGTATCACAGTGTTTAAAAAAAGGAACAAGGGGGAAGGTCTTCTGGTTCTATTCATAGCTCTATTTTCACTATTTGACTTTGGGCTTATTCTTTCTGGCTTGGGTTTTCAGGGAGTTATAAATCCAACTCTCATTGATTTTAATATGAATTGGGCATCTAACTGTCTAAGGCACCTTTGAAATTTCCACTGTGTGGGCTTTTCTACTTTGCAAATTAGGCTTCTAAAAGGAAGCTACCTTCCTACTTAATCACAGAGCAACTATATAGTTGCAGTTCCTCAGTAGAGGGTGTTTGTTCACATGCTGTTAATTTGAAATAGGCTTACTGTGCATTAAAAATACTGTACAGTAAGCCTACCTAGGAGATGTCTACATGTGCTCCCACTTGGGAGCAGATTTGCTCCCACCCTGCTCTGCCTTCCTGCAGCAGCCAGGGGGAGCTCCATCTGGTCCCCATGTGCATAGGGCCAGGATCACAGGGCTTGTCTCCATGCAGATAGGGCTAGGAGAGCTCTACTGCCTGCATACATGGGGGAGCAGGGGGTACAGCTGCTGCTACAGAGCTCTCCTGCCCCGTGCACACAGGAACAAACCTTGTGCCCAGCAAGGCTTCCCTGCACAGCCCAGAGCTGGCCAGGAACTGTCCCACTTCTGGGCTGGGCTGGACAGGAAAGCAGGGAGCTCCCAAGCCCTGGCACTTTTCAGCTGCCAGCTCCTAGGGGCAGCTGAGTAGTGCCAGAACTGAGGGAGTTCCCGATCCCCTGTGGCCCCCTAGTGTAGGAGCTGATCGGGGGGAAATTTTGCCCCCGGCCAGCATCTAGACATGCAGTACTGTGCAGTATCTACTGTGCAGCTACTTTGCTACCTGTATTTACTGGTAGTAACTAACTGCACAGTAGGGGTGGCCCAAATCAGGAGCAGTGATTCGATTCTTTGATTCAGATCACTGTTCCTGATTCAATTTGGCCAAATCCAGATCTGAAGATTTGATGCTGATTCAGAGAATCAGTGATTCAGCCATAGACACAGCATTAAAAGTTTTTTCTACATACCTTGAGGTAGCACGTTCAGCTTGTAAATGCTACAATGCTGGGGCACATGGAGCATCCCCCAGGAGGAGGGACAGGGGCCCTTCGTGTGCTCGGCAGCGAACCCAGAAATGGACCAGAAGTACTTCCAGTCTATTTTCAGCTCTGCTGGGGAGCATGCTGGGTGGCCCCCCTGTGTCTCCCTGGCTCAGCGATCAGCTGCATGGAGACCCCAGGTGCCCCCCGAGACCCAGGAGGCACCAGTCACTGAGCCTTGTGGGTGCAGGGGGGGCCCCAGCATGCTCCCCAGAAGTGGACTGGAAGTGCTTCTGTCCACTTCCAGATCTGCTGCCAAGCATGCTGGGGAGCCCCACACACTCCTGTGACATGTTCCATGCACCCCAGCATCGCAGCATTCACGAGCCCATGCTACCTAGAACTATGTAGAAAAAAGCTGTCTCTGTGTCTGAATCTCCAAATCTTTCCGAACCTCTCCGCATCAATTCAAAGGGTTCCAATTTGATGTGAAGAGATTAAAGGGTCCTCTGATTTGATTCAGATTCAGAGATTCGGCCACCAACTTGAGCTGAATCTCCGCCGAATCAAATCAGGAACTGAAGCTTCGCACAGCCCTACTGCACAGTAGACTAATTTACTTTGCAGTAAATGTGTGCATATGTAGATGGTGACACTTTACTGCACAGTAGATTAGTCTATTGTACAGTAAAGCGTCTCATCTAGACACACTGACAGTCAGTCATTGTGGAGATTTTTGTTTGAAGCTCTACAAACTCTCAGTTAAACTGGCTCCCCTAGCTTGTGTTCTGGTTTCTGATGAGGATAAACCTGATGTTCTAGAATCTGGGCAGCCCACAACCTATGGTTTTGATCCCTCTGCAATTTAGTTCACTTCAAGCAAGAACCTTGATATACTTAGTTGTTATCAGTCCCTCTCAGTTAAAGGAGATGCCTGTTCTTAGCTATACAGAAGTTTTCCTATTTCTTAGGAGAATTCTTACATGGGAGAATTTTCAATAAACACCTCCAACAGCAAGTGTAGCTAGAAAACAAACAAGGCACCAGCCGCAGGTGCTGACTTGGAGGAAGCATAAGTTTGGCAGCTGCTACTGCTGCCATTGCCAGCCCAGCTGCTGCCACTGCCCAGGGCATAAAAACTGCTAGTTACAGTCCTGCGCCATAGGTCTGCCCCTTTTGAAGGATTAAGAAGGCAATGGTTATCCAAGTCCAAGGCTAGTTGGTACTAGCATATCCTGAGATTTCACCTAAAACTATGTTTGTAAAAGGCACAATCTCCTCTGATTCTAGCTTAAATTGGCCATTTTGGTTATGTTGGGCCTCTCAGCTACCCCTGCATTAACTTAATATGTTTATAACTCCCCAAATAACATCTTGAAGACTGCTTGTGGACTGGTAAGGGACATGGACCAGCTTTGTCTTTTCTAGAGGAAACTTTT